ATTCCCCAGCCAGTTGAAGTCCACTCATCTTAAAGTGGCCAAGTTTGGACAACACTGGCATAGACCCTACATTATAGGAAGGGTGTGGCAAGCACACACTACTGTACTGTCTTCTTCCAGGGTGGTTTTTGACTTACATCTAGTTTGCAGCTCTGGATTTTTTCAGTTGTCTCCCATTCAAATACTAACCAGACTTAACTGTGCTTATCTTACAACCCAGACAAGGTCTGTCAGGTGCTGCCAGCCATAAGACAATCTATGAGGTAGGTCGGACCTAATCTTTTCTTGCAACAGCTTCTTCCCATCAATCATTATGTTTGTTTCCCCATTACAAGTTAAATCTTATTAACCGTTTCTTAAACACAGGCCCTCTGATACAAGGGGGCACTGACCCTCCGACCCTTTGAAGGCACTGTTAGCTCTGATGAAAAGACTTTTGTGCGGCTTGGAACTACTTTTTTATTTTATGCCTTAATGTTGCTGCTGCCTCCTTCCCTTGCGTCTATTTACAGCAGATAAAAGCCAATTCAAAGTGTGAACTATAACAGGGATATTTACATTATCTGGGTAGCGCTGGTAAGATAAAAAAGAATCCATCCAAGAACTATTTGAAGACCACATTCCATCTGTTCATCCGAGAATTCTAATTGGAGCAGCAATTTATTCTTGGCAACCATACACCCACAGAAGATACATGCATGTACCTCTTCTCTCCAATAAACACCAGCTCCTCAAAGAACAGCTGTACTTGTGAAATGAACGGCAAGTGCTAGGAGAAGGAATACAGATATAGAATTGACTTAGACAGCTGAGCTAAACAAATTGCAGCAAGCAGCAAAACACTATCGCTTTAAGACCTGTTAAGGGACTCAAGGAACCTTCTGCAAGCATGGTGTCTTCCAAGCGTGCTGGACCACAACTTCCATAATCCCCATCAATATATGGAGAGGATCCCAGACAATTATGGAAAGATATTTAAATCACAAGACATTTTGCTCATTTCATGAGCAAACATATCAGCCCAGAAAACCATGACACAGAGAGTCATTTTCAGCATCCTAATCTCCAGTTCCTTCCAATGAAGTCCAACATTCAGCTAATGACTTTTGTAAAGCCATACATAAGTCAGCCTTGGTTGACTAGCAGCTCTGTCTGTGAAAGGACTCTATTGAAGTCCTTCATTCTGTGAAACACCATGCAATAATTCAGCTGTTCTTTCTATGCTGTTGTGTCTACTATGGAGTATTTACTCTCACCACTGGGAATGAATTACTACAGCTCAGGGACAGAACATACACCATGGACGGAGAAAGGATTGGGTTCAATCCCTGGCATTGTAAGGTAGCAGGAGATGCTTACACCCTTTTTCTGCTTGGGAATCTAAAGAGATGCAAGCAATTTATCCAGGCTTAATGTGCCTCATTACTGTATAACGCAGCTTCCTATGTCCCAAGCTAGTTGCAGTCATCAATATAAATATGCTAATTTGCCCATTTTTAATTTTTAAAAAAATTGCCTAAGAGGTACCTTTTTTAAAAGACAGACCCACGTTTAAAGAAGACAAATAGGGTCATCTGCTTTTCTATCTACCATCCCTTTTACCCCTTCCTTGCTGTGCCTCACTACAATAACGCTGCAGGAATAAGAAGCCCTGGGAAAATGAATTTTCTCCGCTGTCTCGCAGTCATATCCAAACATCATGAGCTCCCAGAAGCTCCGTTTTCCAGAATGACCAGTAGTGTTCCCCATGCTGAAGTGGGAATGTAGAGGGGCAGCACCCACTGCTGCAGGAAGAACCTGAAGGCTGAACTATGAGTAAATTCTGTACTCTCCCTCCCCTTCGCAACTCCCCAGGAATTCTACAGCATAGTTGCATTCTACCAGTTCCAGCTGAAACTTGTGTTTGTGCCTTCGAGTTATGGTTGACTTCTGACGACTGCCTGGACGTGTCCCTGCAATTTTCTTGCCAAGGCTTTTTGGAAGTGGTTTGCCACTGCCTTCTTCCTAGGGCTAAGAGAGAGTGACTGGCCCAAGGTCACCCAGATGGCTTTGTGCCTAAGGTGGGACTAGAACTCACAGTTTCCCAGTTTCTAGCCTGATGCCTTAACCACTACACCAAACTGGCTCTCTAACTGAAACTTAGCTGAGAAATAATATGCGCAATGGCTTTCTTCTCTGAGATGAAAAGACTGAAGGTATATGACAGCATTCTTCAACTGCATGAAAGAAGATCAAACCCTATTCCCTTTGTTCCAGAGTACAGGGTACGAAATAATGGATTAAAGCAGTGTTTCTCAATTTCAGCAACTTTAAGATGTGTGGACTTTAACTCCCAGAATTCCCATTGGGCTAGGGAATTCTGGAAGTTGAAGTCCACACATCTTAAAGTTGCTGAAACTGAGAAACACTGGATTAGGAAGGGAGATTCTAACTATTAGACAAACTAGGTTATAGTAACAGTATTTGAGCATTGGAACCAATCACCCAGAGAAGCAGTAGGAGGTGCTGAACAGGGCTGGATAGTCAGCCGCTGGAGATGTTTTAATTTAGATTCCTACCCTGAGCAGGAGGTCTAAGCAACCCTCCCAAATCTATGATTCATTACAAAAGATACTGGATATGACATATCATCATCATGAAAAATTAGTTCATATCATAATTCTGTTCCTTTTAGGACTGTGATGTAGTCTTTAAAAAAGAGCAAATAATGCTAAAGAGAAACAAAGATTTGCTTGTTCAATGAGGTGTACCACATGACCCCAAAGTTGAGGGTGACCCAACTGCTGCAATAGCATTCTCTGCTTTTCCTTGTTAAGTTAGGTCAATTCTTGGTGGGAGGTAGAACAAAACATCAGTGTGTGCTTATGCTGTAGAATGGCTTGATATATTGCCATTGGGTGATGAAACAGTCCTGTCCTCCATCTACTAATAGAAAGGTTGGATACAAATTAAATAAAGTGCTGTTATGCAGAGTAGACCAATGGTAGAGGAACTGGTTTTGCCTACAGGAAAGTTCTAGATGCAAACTTCAGTTAGGATACAGCAAACTGAAATCTGAAATACAGAAATCACTCAATTTTACAGTCAACATTCTCCCTATATTTTTGTCTTTGTGATAGTTCACATTTTGGGACCAATAAGATAATGATTATGGATGGCTTTGTGCATGCTTTCTCACTCTGTTTTTAAAACTGTTAAACCAAATTTTGAACCAAAATACTTAACATCAGATGTTTTTCTTTACCACTTAAATCATTTTATATAATTCATGCTATGACAACAAGTCTTAGCACAAACTTGCTGGTCAAGAACATTCTTCAATAAAAATCCCTGAATGCTACAAGACTAAAGTCAAGTGGATTTCCAGGCCAATGAATTTTTTTTTTTTTTTAAGAAATTCATCATCCCATTTCCTATTCACATTTTTCTTTTGGGATTGTTTGTTATCACAGTTCCATTTTGCATAGCACACATGGGGTCAAAGTTGAACTTGAGGCCATTTCAATTATTGTCCATTTTATGAATTTTAGTACACACATTCTTTCTTGTATTGCCACTTGTATTATCACTGGTAAACCAGTCTTCTCACAAACCAGCTGACTGCTGGCATGTTTGGGAAAACGAGGCTGGGGCAGTCCATCTGGTAAATTCCCCAGGTCATGGCTTGAGCACTGCTGTCCTACAGAGATGCTAACTATTGGCACTGACAATCTTAAGTAAGATGGACTGCTAGGTTGGCATGGTAGAAACTGGATCCATATCTCCAAAGATAGAAACAACTTATATTTAATATCCAGAAAGGACTGGGAAATAATGGCAAAGAATGAAGGTAAAAAAGAGCTATTTTTAAAGGCATTTCTGAAAATACACAGCTTCCCTTACCCGTATCGGTGCCTGCCCACATCTCTGATCAGTTTCTCTGACAGATAAGCTCCAATGCGATCCAGCTTCTCTGGAGCAGAGAGGGCATAGAAAGTCAGCTTCTCCATGTTGGTTTTTACCAGCCCATCCTGAAAGAAACATAATTTCATGCTAAAACGTAAGCTTATATTATTGAATATATTAACCCCCCCATCCCCCACACACCAGGTTTTCTGTAGAAACTCAATGCAATGTACGTAGTATTCCGACGTGTGATTTATTCTCAAAACAATCCTATGAGTTAGATTGGGTTAAGAGAGGGCAAAGGCAGCCAGTGAGTCTCTATGGCTGAGTATGGACTTGGCTTTGAATTTGAGTCTCCCATGACCTACCCTGGTACCTTAACCAGAGTACCACCCAGGCCCTCACATATTCTTGTACTTGGAACCCCCAAAATGTCAGGCATGGCTCTGTGGCTGAAAGAAGATGATAATAAAAAAGAAAGAGAAACACGGACAGGGCCTAATAAGCCAGTTGTTGGAGCAGAAATGTGTTAAGGCCCTGTTCCTATAAAATCCCTCAACTTGTTGCTCAGTCTGAATAAGAACAAGAGCGTGCTCCTGAAGCTTGCTGAAGCTGTCCTTCGGTCTACTTGACTACTTTAACCTCTCCCCTTTCCATGACTTAAAATCAAAACAGATTTTGCTTGGCTTATCTGCCTGCGAGAACACATCACATCTCACTCCACCTCTGACCCTTACTTTTTTCACAGAAAGAGCCTATGGAAGTAAGAAATTGATTCTACTTCTTATAGAGGTTTATGAATTGCCTTTTCCTCTCCCAGGTTATTATTCTTTGTTGTTTACCCAATAATATAGCACCAAGCTGAGTTATGCCAATACACAATTGGACATTGCTAGGTATGTATGGAAGAAGAGGAAAGTCAAGGAAGCAGCAGATTTGCTGTTTGGAGAAGATGGGGAGATGGTGATGGGCAACAGGGAGAAGGCTGAATTGCTTAATTTCTATTGTGCATCTGTCTTTTCGCAAAAGGAAAAAGTGGTCCATCCTGTTAGAAACTATACTGTGGGGGACTGAGGAGAAATGCAGGTAAAAATGGGTAAGGGAATGGTGAGAAAACATCCAGCTGCTTTGAATGAAATCAAGACTCTGGGATCAGATGGATTACATACCCCCCTTTTTTGACAAAGTGACTAGATTAATGGACAAAAGAAATGGTGTGCATGTAACATATTTAGACTTTACTATGGCATCAAATAAACTTGACCATAGCTTCCTTCTTCATAAAATGGAACAATGTGGGATAGATGATCCCACTACCAGACAGCTTTACAGTTGGTTGAACAACCATACCCAGTGCACAGTTCCTTTATGTCTGCATGGAGGGAGGAATGCAGTGAGGTACCCAGGGTTCTGTCCTGGGCCCAGCATTCTTCAACTTTTTCATAAATGATGTGACAAGGAAGGGAGCTTGCCAAATGTGCAGGTGACACAAAGGGAGGGAGGAACTGCTAACACCTCAGAAGACAAGATTCAAAAGGATCTCTATACACCTGAACATTGGGTCCTATCCAATAATATGAACTTCACTGGTGAGAAATTTAAGGTTCTGCACTTAGGTAGGAAAAAACAGATGTATGGGCATAAGATAGGTGGTACCTGGTTTGACAGTAGAACTTTTGAGGAAGATCTGGGCATCTTAATAGACCACAAATTAAGCATGAGCCAGAAGTGAGTTGCAGCTGCCAAAAAAGCCGATGCAATCCTGGGCTGCAATAACAGGGGTATAACATCAAGATCGTGGGAAGTAATAGCTTTACTCTATTCTACACTGGTTAGACCATCTCTGGAATACTGTGTTCAGTTCTATTCACTGGAAAAAGTGGGGAGAAGACCACCAAAGGTGGTGAGAGGCTTGGAGGCACTATGAAGAACAGTTAAGGAACTGGGTATGATTAGCTTAAGTTAGTTGACCTTGATTTATTGAATGCCCATCCCAACTTTTCCATCAGAAAGGTGGCTAACAAATAAAGCTTTGTTCAAACTGCCTTTTAAGGACATTCAGTTTTATCACTCCACAATCCATACTTCACCAGATTCCATACCTCCTAAGCACCACACCACACCACACCACACCACAGCACCATTTGATGGCACTGCAAACACCATCCACACCATAAGAGAGCAAAGAAATTGTTCTGGGTTTCCTATCATGCTCATGGAGCAACCAGAGCTTGGAAAACACATGTGGATGAACTGCTGGTTTTGAAGAACCTCTGTATCACTGCCTCCCTCAGGTCAATGAAAGGCTTGCATGTGGTCCTCAGAGAGCACATGAGCACCGATGAACCACACAGCCAGCTGAATAAAGACATTGCTTCTGGGTGACTGCAGCTTCTTCAGAGCAAAAGGGAATGGAATACAGTACCACGTGGGTGTATAACTATTACCACTGTCCTCATGTGCACTCATGTACCCTTCGAGCTTTAAAAGAACAGCTCTTTTTTTTTTTTTTTTAAAGGGGATTTGGCAGCTCTCTCAGATCTCTTCTTCATGTACGCTGCATCTTAATTCAGAACCAAGGATGGAATATGGAAGTAGGTAGAGAGATGTGAATATGGTTTTCTTTTCTTTTCCTCCTAAGAGAAGGAACAGTTGCTTCCTTCTGTTTGGCTAGTTTTAAATTTCCAAGTGGTACGTTTGTGTGTGTGCATATACATGTGTATGTATGTAGAACTTCGCATGGCTACCTGAGATCTCTTAACCTAGGTTAACTTTGATTCAAGAAGCACACCCACTTCTTACGTATTAGGTGGGGAGACAATATAAAACAGCCACCATTCTGGGAAATGTTTCTGCACACACAAAGGCATATGGCCCCATTTGCTATTCAGAAAGAGCGTTCAGTGAAAAAGTGCAGAAAAGGTATAGAAAAGGGCATCTGTAATGAGTAGGGGAGCAGCTCCCCTATGGAATGTTTGGGGTGCTTTAGTTTGAAATGAAGGTAGGTAAGGGAAGACATAACATAACTGTCCATATGAAAAATATGGACAGAGGAAACTTTCCTTCCCTCCTTCACTGTGTTAGAACTCAGAGTCATCTGCTGAAACTAAATGCAGGGAGACTTAAGATGGATATTAGGAAGAAGGACTCCTTTATACAACATGTACACAACATATACATAATACACAATATATTACAGTCACTTTCATGAGATGGGCAGCCATATAAA